GGAGGTTGCAGTGAGCTGAGACCACACCATTGCACTCCAGCCTGGGCAACAAGAGCAAAACTCTGTCTCAAAGGGAAAAAAAAAAAAAAAAAAAAACCAGAAAAGATAAAAAACAAGGACATTAAATTACATAAAAATAAAAAATATGAACATAAAAAAACACCACACGAAACATTTAAAAATATGAAGAACTGGGAGAAAACATTTGCACTGCTATCACCAAAAAGGCCGAATTTCTGTCACACAGAACGAGCTGCTACAAATCAGTAAGACAGACGACAGTCTAATATACAGAGGGGCAGAGAACTGAAGAACAGGAAAAGGAAGTAACTCCTAAACACACACGAAGAGGCACGACCTCCTAACAGAGGCGCTGATTCCAACCCTGCCTGCCACCGGCAAAAGCTCCGTGTGGCTCCACGACTCTCAGACGCTGCTGCTGGGGGCAGCCTCCGGGTGGGCAGTGGAGGCTGAGGCGATGGTGTCCACCACACGTGGTGGGCAGGCAGCCTCGACTAAGCAAGCCGGGGCACTTACATGTGTATTTTCACACACTGCAGCCTGTAAGGTTTCTATTCTAACAGTATCTGTGATGGCAAAGGACTGGAAATAGCCTACAATGCGCATGAAAGAGAGAATGCTTAAATGAATGCGGCACGTCCTCATGATGGAAGACAGAAGCTGCAAGGTAAGAAGGGGACGCCTTCCACGCAGGCACACAGGACGGACGCGTGCTCCCGCCCCAACACATCGCACGTCCCACCACTCTAGCTGCTTCGAAGCAGCATCTGTCTCTCTCCACCCTTCTTCCTACGTCATGGACCCATGCAGTCCCCACAAGGTGCACCCTTCAAATAGACCTTCCTGAAAACATCCTGAGACCATTCGCAGGAGCTGGCACTGTGACCTGCTGAGTTTGCCAGGCGTATGACTTAGGTGCACAGCAGAGTCTCAGGGCGACGATGTCTGTGCAGCAAAGCAGGATGAGGACAAGGATGCGGCGTGACGCTTGTCTGGCCCCCGAGGCTGAGCATCACTGGGGTTGGCCTGACTCTTCCCCGGGAGCCGGGCTGTCTAAAGTATACCAGTGCCTGCGCGTCTCACCTAGAACGCAGACGTTCCATCCTATGTCAGCAGGCCCCCGGGTGCACAGTGCTGCGCTAGCCCGGGAGCCGGGCTGTCTAAAGTATACCGATGCCTGCGCGTCTCACCTAGAACGCAGACGTTCCATTCTATGTCAGCAGGCCCCCGGGTGCACAGTGCTGCGCTAGGAGGTGGCATGGTCTCTGCCCTGCAGGGTTTTGCACCATAACCTGGGAAACACTCAGGTGCCAAATGAGAGGTAAGGAGACTCCGTGCATTACTCAACCAAAGTGCAGGGATTTCAGGGTGTGGGAGGCATGCAGGGTGCTGACTCTCCACATGCCCCTCAGAGAGGGTGGCCCCCACCAGCTGCCAGCTGTGGGCAGCTCCTGGGGAGGGCAGTCTCCTACCTGGAGTTGAGTCACCCTGGGAGGTGAGGCCAGAAGGGCTGGATCCCAGGTCTAGCAACCTCCAAGTGTCCTGGAGGGCGCCACTGGCAAGGGAGGAGGAGCTGTGGGATTGGCGGCCATGCTCCTCAGGGCGCTTGGGAGCCTGGGGTGGCTTTGGGGACCTGCCTTCTTTCTGCCGAGGTGATTTACAGGTCACCGTGTGGATGCTGCGTTGTGTCTAGAAAAGACATCATCGTCTTGAAAGCCACCCTCTCCAACCCAGAGGAAGCCACAGGACTCCCCCAGCCACTCCCCTGGAAGCAGTAAGGAGACAATGGGCCTGGCTCAAAGGCCCAGGCAGATGCTCCCAGGACCACCCAGGAGAGGCAGCTGCAGACAGGGGTGCATCTGGGGAGTGAGTCTCAGCGCTGGGAACGCCAAGTGTGAGCAGGGCCTGAATCTCGGTGCTCATCTCAACAAACGACAAAACACGTCTAGGGCAGAGGCTGTCCCGTTTCGATGGGGAATGAGTTGAAATGCAGGGCAGATACCCTGAGGGGCACAGCAACGAACGGCCAACGTGGGCCCCGTGTGCTTTAGGGGTCCTGGGGCCCTCCCAACACCTTTACCGCCCTTGTGGGACCACCCAGCAAACACTCTGCAGCTCACCCTGCCATTGCGAGCAGCCCCTGGCCATGGCACAAAGGCAGGTGCAGAGCGAAGGCCCCGCCGAGAGGCCCAGAGGGCCCAGACCCCAGCTTCCCTGCCGGCCACACTCCATGCAGCTGCACCGGCATAGGCACTGCCACTCTCACCTTCGGGCCTCGCAGGGCATCAAATCTGCTGCCCACCTGTGCTGGGCGGGGCCGGTGCTTTCCCAAGGGTCCAGAAGGACACTCCTCCTCGGCACTCTTGGCGTCCTGCCGTGGGGATTTAAATGAGAGGA